GTACGTACTCTCTCTCTCTCTCTCTCTCTCTCTCTCTCACATTGTCACTAAAGGGGATGTTAGTAGATTTTGGGTGAGTTAGTAAATAAAACTCGTATAGCTTTATTATAATTTTTTATAAAAGGGGACCAATATTGAATTTAACCCTCCATGTTTTTGCCCCATATTGTGTACAGAAGTAAATTTAGGGGGCTGCTTCATATAGAAAAGGGGAATGGAGGATGGGAAATACGGGGTTTGGACAGCCCAAGCAAATGTGGCTACCCAAGAAAGGGAGAGGTGAGCCACTGAGCCATCCCTCTCTGTATAAAAAAATACATATATCAAATTTTATTTTTCAATAAAAATAATGTGGGAACCGAGCTATCTAGCACGGTACCCTGACAAAACCAGTAGTTCTCTGATAGGACCGGCCGAATCTGTCAGAGAAATTGCTAGTTCATTAGGGGAACCGGCCAGTTCCCGATATTTTGGGAGATCTGGATTGGCCTGACTGATTCCCGATTCAGATCAACCAGTTCTTATCGAGACCACTGATTTTTAAAACCTTGAGTATTAAAGCATAACATATCAACTGAACTTTGTTAGGAACCAGTGCAAGTAACTTTTATTGGGACTTTTATTGGGAAAAACTAGTCCAACTGATTATATCATGGATTTTACAATCTAACATAGCTAAAGAGCCTTCAATGTCAAAAATTCCAAAGATAAATCTAGCTGGGGTTTTTATTAACTCCCCCTTAATATAGTTATGTATACATGATGACCATCAAATAAAGTGTGTTTTAACAAAAGTGTATAGTTGTCGTCATAGCTAAATTTGCAAAAGTCACATCCTTAGGTATGGGAATCTTGAAATTGGAGTACAATTCACTCTAGACCTCAACATCCCCAAAATCAGAAGTTGTAAAAATGATATTTCTTAGAAGTTAGGAGCATATCTCTTTCTTTTTATGATGACCATCCTAAATTGCAATAAGTAATCCGTTCTGATAAGTAACATGTCTACTTCAAAGTTTTTGTCTCATGGCAATGATCCCGTTCATAAACAACACACATAGGGAACACAGTCCTCTCTAAAAGAGGATAAGCTCCCTTCTTTTCTTTTTTTCCCCTTTTTTTTTTTTGTTGGAGGGCGACAGTGAGCATGGGCATTGAACAAGGTCTATATATTGCTGGAAACAATCAACACTTTAACAGTTTAACCAATAAGCCAATGTCAAATCCCAAAAAAAGGATAAGCTTGATCAATATATCATACAATAATTTAACCAGAAATAAAACAACTAGATACTTGGTTACATTTCCAACCGCAGGTTTTTGGTTCTCATCATTGCGTCACCAGAAGGCTTTTCACGGCCTTGAGGAGTCTGCGACAATACTCTATATAGATGACATTGTAATCTTTTGCGAGGTGTGCCCCACCCAAATAAAAAACATTTGGTTATTTCTCAGGATTTCTGAAATAGCTATAGGTATGAGGGCTAACATGCCAAGACCAAGATGCTTGGGATTTGTATCAATGTTGTCAAATTCACTTCGGAGTCTTCTTCGGTTTGGTGAGAAAAATGAAGTAGTTTGGTGCTTCGGCCGATTCGAGGGATGACTTTGGATTTTTTAATTTAATATAAAAATATCAGATATTTATATATAAAAATAATGAAAAAAATGAAAAATAAAAAGTTCAAAAATATAAAAAAATACTTTTATATGGATATTTCTTTGCTTAGGCCGAAGAGGCCGAAGCTTCGGCCGAATCGGCTCGAAGAACCCGAATCTGACCGAAGCCGCAGCACCAGGCTTTGCTTCGCTTTGGTCTAGGCCTAAATCCAAAAGCTTCGGCCTCTTTGGAAGCAAAGTTGACAACATTGATCGGTATAGACCAAGCGGATGCCAGTGCCTTGACGCAACATCTTGGCTGCAGAACAAAATCTCTCCCCTCCACTTATCTTGGCCTATGGCTTTGTTTGGGGATCACTAGGAAATGCCCTTAGGACCCCAATCATGGAAAGGTTTAAGCAAAGTCTTGCAAACTAGAGAGATCGATATCTCTCACAATGAAGCCGGATCACTCTGATCCTAGCCAATGTCCCAATCTATAGCATGCGCTATTCGAGATACCAGAGTCAATAGTTTCTGACTTTGAAAACCTCATGCAAAATTTCCGGTGGTCTAGAGCCGAGGGCAACCATATATTCCACGTCCTTGCGTGGTACAAGATTTGCTACTAGAAATCTAAAGGGCACTAGGGGTCAGAAGGCTAAGACACAACAACTTGGAGCTGATAGGGAGCCAAGTGGTAGTGGACGTTTGCTGCCGATGAGTCCCAGCCATCTAGAGAGGATGTTGCAGATAAAGATGGTATCAAGGACAATGATCAGCTCACAAATTGCCCTTTGCACAAATCATCTGAAGCTTGGACCTATATTGCAAAGTGTAGCCAATCTTTCATAGGATTTATTAGGATTTATTAGGGACAGAATCGAGTTCTAGAAACACCGATGGGCAGAAGACTTGAGTTAGGTAGCAGATGGCCTCAGCTCCTAGCAATAGCAACCAACGAGGATGCCTCCATAGAGGACACACTAGAATCCAACACTGGCAATTTAGTTGGTGCCCGTGCCCTACCTTAAACGGGCCCTCACGGACACCGAGAGTGACGCACAGCAGTTGCGCCTTTTTCTTCCACCCTCTTTGTGCCCATAGAAGAGAGGGATCAACTGGTTCATTTTCGGTGAATACCTTTTACAAGACTCTCCTACTGGCTCCTCCCCGCTCCTCCTTTTCTCCTTTGGTCTGCCCTAGTGTCCCACAAGGTCCAAGCCTTCTCATGGACCTTAACCCACGGCAGGGTGCTTATTGTCAATCAATTGAAAAGGAGAGGAATGGACCTCCCAAGCCGCTGCATCATGAGCCTCCAAGAAGAAGAAAATATCAACCATCTTCTCATCTTTTTCTGCACTGTGAAGTAGCCAGGTTCCTATGGCCCCCCCTTCTTCAGTTATTCAGAGTATCGAACTCCACTGGATCACGCAACCGTCCATAAGGCAACTCATGACCACTTGGATGTCCCCACCTTTCCCCACGGTCGGCCATCTCTTTGGTTTGCCTCAGTCTTTACTCTGTTTTGGGGGCTCTAGAAGGAGAGGAAAGCTTGGACTTATGAAATGATTCATGGGCTGCCCATAGCCATCTTCAATCAACTAACAGCCAACAACGTATCCCAGGCAAAGGGTCTTCCACACCTTAAAAGCCTCAGTGCCGAGGACTTTAGGAGAAATTGGCACAATCTTGTGTGATTAGCCCCTAGAGCTCTCAAGGTCAGGCCCCTTTGGATCCCCCCGCCCCTAGGTACCCTCAAACTAAATCTACATGGTTGCTCTCTCGGCAACCCGGGCCCCTCTGGTTATGGAGACAGCTTGGCGAAACCGGAAGGGGAAATACTCAGTTTCTCAGGGTTCCTAGGCATAACCAATTCCACTACAACCGAGTCCATCGCAATCCTAGAGGGTCTCAAGCTGCTCCATTCTGTTCTTTTCTGATGTGGGATCTCTTATAGTGGAAGGGAACACCAGGAATGTTAGGACTTGGGCAGCTAGGGATGGCCAACCTCAGTGGAGACTCGCTCATGTTTTCAGCAACATTTTTATGCTTTGCTGGAACCTCCCACTCACTCTCTGCCACATCCCAAGGGCAGCCAACAACCGCGTTGATTTGCTAGCCAGGGAGGGTGCTCGGGGTGTCTCAATGACAGGAGAGACTTCAGCAGCTCTTTCTCTACCCCCACAAAGCACCAGCAACTACCCAGCATGTGCGCCTCTGGTTTTGCTTACCATACACCATTTGGCTATCTTTCTTCTTCTCCTCTCTATCTCCCTCTTTGTCTTCTCTTCTCCCTTCCTCCTTAGTGTATTTCTTATAGGCTATTTCTATCACAGGTGGCTTCACTTGTTTTTGGTACTTGAGCTCCCTTTGAGGCTAGCCAGTTTTTGTAAAGCATGGAGTTTTTTGTTTTTCCTTATTCTAAGCATTCATACAGTTGGTCACCATATATCCCTCACTCCATTTTCTCTCTCCACTCCCTTCTCTTCTTTTCTCTCTCTTTTTCTGCCCACACCTTCCTGAGAACCCAGACTATGGCTTGCCAGCAAGGGGCATGAGGGGTTTTCTCTAATGTTGTTATATATTAATATAATATCATCAATCATTCTCAAAAAGACATATATATATATATATATATATAAACATTTATAAACAGTCTCATTAAGTTGTACAATGATATATGTCTATGTTGAAATATATTCAGCTTTTGAATCCTAAGATGTTGTCTTGACTATGGTTTTATGTTTTTAGATTTCTTTGTATTTTTGTCTAGTGATGAAATTTTTCATAGATAATCCAAAAAAACGACAAAGATCTGAGGTGTGATTTGCTGAACATGTAATTATGAATCCATGTAAGGTAAAATTGTTCACCATAACTACTTAGACATGAGTAATAAGTTAGTCCATCCCTCATTGTTAACTATTTTTGGGCAAGGTTACCATGGCCATTTGCCAAAGGAATCACTAACAAAGAAAACATACTACGTGGTATCATTAAAGCTAATTCCAGCAATCACTGACAAAGAAAACATACTACATGTACCAAAAAGTGGATTTAATGTATCATTAAAGCTAATTCCAGTACATTAATTGTTCAACAGACTAAGAATATATATGATATGTTTAATATTTATATTTTCAAGATTTACATATAGAAATATTAAAAAAAAAAAACCCTCATTCAAAACTGGTTTGCAATAGAGAGAGCGTAGTAAGTCAAAAAATTTCCTTCGTGAATGATAAGAGAGTTTTACCTTCCCAATACAACATTAGCAATCATTTATGTATTTGTATGTGTTCAAAAAGCTATGCTTAATCAAGCAATAACTGCAAAGTCTGTTTGATTTACAGGAAAGAAGGAAAGGAACCATACCACAATCCAATGGAGTATTCTAGGCTGTACTCTAAAGGGGCATCCAACCTCCATTTCTAATAATAGAGAACGGAGATAGACCAGAGTGGGGCCCACCATGATTCACCCAGATACAATTAATCTCCAGCATCAATCATCAGCAATAGATAGAAGAAGATAACACCCCAATAGACCATAGACCAGCGTTCTATTGTATACACTATCAAAGGAAAAAAAGGTAGACCGAGGAAAATAAGAAAAGAAAAAATAAGGCAAAACATGTACCTCAAGAGTGTAAGGCAAGACCTGGCACTCCAACAACCATTGCCTATGCACCTTCCTCGCAACAAAGACGAGAATCGCCGGTATATCAGTAAGGATCCCCTTCCTCATCCTGAACCCAACCGCGGTCCCCAAACTATATCTTCTCAAAATCTTGCTATGAAAAGCCCTAATCGTCATGAGATCTAGAATCGTTGCCGCCTGTTGGCTTGGGGGCAATTGGGCAACATGGCCTGGCTGGAAGCCCTTGTGGAGGCCAAAGAAGTAAGAAGCCCGCTCTTCTGCAGTGTCGTTGAGTCGAGTCGAACCTGGCCAGGAAAAGTATGCTGCCGTATGGCTGCTTCCCTCACAGTTCTGTTGTTGTTGCTGCTGCTGCCCACCTGATGCCACCAGCTCGATCGACGGACTGTCAAGGGGCAGCCGGCATGTTCCTCCACCTGTTTCTCTGTTTCCTCCATATCCATGATGAACTTGGGAAGAGTAAAGCAGGGACTCTGGATCAAAAGACCTGCAAAGATAGGTTGAGAGAGAGAGAAGAGAGTGACAAAGGTGGAATTGTATGCATGCCTAAAAGGGAAAGGAAAGGTTGCCTTGTTTTTCTTGTCGAGAATTACATAGTGAAATGTTCACATGAAGCTCACTTGTTCTGGTTGCCATTACTCTTAAACCTATTTACAGAGGAGAAATATGAAATTTGGGCAGGGGGAGTTGTAGATATTTACTTGTTTTTTAGGAATGAAAGCAAAATATGATTGTGGGGGGAAGAGAGAGGTACATGGAGATATCAAAACCAATCTTTAATGGAAATGAAAGTTTCAGTAATTGAGAGAGAAAGAGAGGTGTCTACTTAGCTCTGTTCTCAAAAGCATCCCCATATTTCATGGACATGAAAATCTAGAGGGAGATGCCTACTCATTGTCACTACATTCATCTAACAGTTCTGCTTTCAAAAGAAAACCCATGGTACAGGGCCATGTAAAATTGGATTTTGAAGTGAGCGAGAGAAAAGAGGTCCACTTGATTCTGGTTCTGCAGAAAACCATGAGAGAGAAAGAGAGAAGCCGACAGGGGTGCTCACTCATTACCACAATCATGACCATGCGTTTCAGCATTAAGCCCATGATAAAAATAATATTAATAATAAAAGAAAACCATGTCATAAACATCAAAAACAAAGAAAACCCATGATATATAAACATGACAAACAACACAGGCAGAGTGAGAAAAAGACATCAAGAGTGTGGAGCTACAAATGAAGAGAGAGAGAGAGACCGCACCTTCGAAACATGGACTGAGATTTTGACCTGTGCTGAAGATCTGACATGAGAGGATGATGAGAGGGCTTGGAGGTTGCTGACTCCATTGCTCCCCCCTCTCTCTCTCTCTCTGCTCCCCTCTCTCTCTCTCTCTCTACACTTTTTCTCTCTCCTCTTGTTGTATCTCTCACAGACACACTATGGGCTGGTAGTCGTAGTGAAGTCGTGCCCTCCCATAAAGCTGGCGGGCGCAGGAGAGAGTGCAAGTAGCTGTTCTCACGTGCCAAAAGCTCAACAGCTACCCATTTATATATACAACACAAAAATAACGCACATGACCGGGAAAATGGCAGAAAAGGAGTGAGCCGGTTGACAGGCAAAAGATGATTGTGATTTTTTTGTATTAAAAATAATTCTTGTACTAAAAATAAATTGTTTTTTTATATGTATTTTTTATTATCGTTATCATGTGCCTAAAATTTAGCTTTCAAAAAATTTCTAATGAATTTATCTCTGCCTAAAATTTTGGTTTCAAAAAATTTCTAATTTTATTTTTTTTCCGGGAATTAGGATAATACTTTAGCCCTCTTGTAAGATTGTGCTATTCATGTTCTTCCTTTGAGTTTGGGTGGAGGTATAGCTTATAGTGTTGCTAGCAGGATTTGTTTTGAGGCTAGTGAAACAAGGGAGCTATGTGAGAAAGATTTGAGTCATTCATTTTTCATTTCACTTTTGTTGGAGACATCTTCTTGTGGTTCTAGCATTAGTTGTAAGAGTTGTTATTAGATGGCTCTCAATTTAGTAACTTCACACATTTTCATTATGAAAAAAAAAATTTAACTTTTTTTTAATTGGTAAGTTGGAAAAAATGAGGGCACCGGAAAAGCCATGCACCGCCCACTAAAAGTTTTCGTCGAAAGCAAACGAACCTCTTATAAATTGCATGCACAAGTATCAGGTATATCGTTTTCAAACACGCGTAACGCCTAATTAAATGTTGCAGTATCTTTTCTATTTGAAAGATGCTTTGAGATATGCATGACAGTGAGGAGTAATAACGATTGCAAATAGATTTAATGATGAAACTAACTAATTTAGTGATCATAAAACATAGTTGGTAAGTACTCTAGATAATTGTGAGGTATCCAGATATAAGAAAAGATTATGAAAAAACTCATGAATCAGTGAAAAACAACACAAATAGTTGAAAATGTTTCATATCCCATTTTTTTCATTTTTGGTGAAGTTTCCACATAGTTAATAGACTTTCACTGTTCCTTAAAAAAATTGAACTTACCAGTTCTATCTAAAATTTCAATTATCTGCTAAAAGGTATGCTTATTCATCTAAAGTATGGTCTGAGTAATCCTTAATACAAGTTATTTTCATGTGCCTAACCAATTGGAATTGATGGAAAGGGGATGCTCCACTGGATTCTCTTTGCCTATGCCGAGAATATAGAGCGGCTTAGCCCGTGCCGAGAATATATACCGCCTTAACAAATTGCAGAAACCATGAATAGTATGGGAGTAAAAGACTTCGAGACATTAATAATTCAATTAACAACAAAACTAAGATAGAAAGCAGCCTCAAATGAAAAGTCCTTTCATGGACATAGTGTGCAAGGCTCACCATTTTGTATACTAATCTGTTGAGATGACCATTTTTTTTTATCATCGGGCTCATGGCCATTGGTCGTATTATTTTTTTCAGTTTTGAATTATCTCAAAGCAGTTTTACTTGGATTCTTGCCTCCATGTGAATTTTTTGTGGTTTGATTCATTACTCATTGAAGGGACTCTTACAGATATCTTTGGACCTAGAAATAATCTTAAAGTTACTAATCCTTTAATGAGGTTAGATGGGTGCTACTACCTGTTACAATATAAACCCATACTGAAAAATGATACATGAACATGACAGTGACAAGGGTAACTTGCAAATGAACATGTTTGGTAACTTGAAAACAATGTCCAGTTCTCATCCAAACGCTATTGAGATCAATTCAAAAAAAAATTGCAAACATAAATTAAAAAGCAAAAAAATTGCTTAAACGCATACGAGAAAAGTTACTTCATTTGAAGAAAGTGGTCTTTTCAAGCCATTCCGGGCATGCTTTGTGGCTAAGATAGGGAATATGTAGATGTATTCATCCATTGTAGTTTTCATATGTTCATTTTGAAGTCACTCTTCATTGGCTTTAAAATCCACAGTTCTATGGTTGGAACTTGCAAGTATGGACCAGGGGTCAACAAAATCGATCATAAATCAATGTGGGAAGGATCACAGGTTGTGGATCATTACTCTGTCCACTATTATTTGAGTTAACTCCACAACCTTTGACAAAAGATCTAGAGAAGATGAGTAATTTTGGAAGGTTAATAACTTTGGTAGCTCAAAAGATATGACCATAAAATCTTCTTTCAATTTTAATTTACCTGATAATTGGAATTTACGAGACGAACTCCCTATGTGGCATCCATTAAAACTTGATCAAGCTGGAATTTATAAGCATAGTTAATAGATACCTCCTTTATTAAAGGCTGAGAAGGATTTGGTGGTTTTCTTTTATGATAATTCTGGTGTGGTCAATGAAGTTCTTGCTATCCTTTCATTTGTTCTGGTAATGGTGCAAGAGGCTGGTTTGTTAGGTTTGTAAGACCCAAGAGAGCACCAATGCACTTGAAGCCTGCAGCTGAGCCATACCATACCCAAGAGGAAGAGATTTCTCCATGTAAGGAAGACATAATAATTGTACATAAAGCATGAATTGCACCTTAATAAATAAAAATAGATATGTTTATCTCGAGGTCTGACCATACGCTCACACTTGGGTGACACAGACGCATATGGCAAAACTCCTGTAAGCCTAGACAACATATCAATAGTGTGTCTAATTTTTGGCACATGTGATATTTCTTAATTCTTTATTCTTTATGAGTTTTCCTGTTTTTACCTTTCTAACCTAGGGTTTGTGTGAGCCATTCTTCGTATAAAACTTTTATTTAAGGAAAAGTTTCTATGAGCCCGTGGGTGCAAGTGCCCACCCTTCAACGTCCATCTCAAACATGGAAGCGCATTGGATCAAATAAACATTTGGATGGTGCCAAAAAAAAAAAATACATTTTAATTATTTTTTTTCATATTCATGATCAACTTGGCTATCCCTGAAATTTTGGATAAAAAATCCATCTTTAAAGTGGATTTTTTAAGGGACACATGTGTGCATATGAGTCTGTCAACTTGGAAATCCCATCATTTATTTAAAGAAAAAGTTTATATAAGGTTGCAATATTAAAATATAGATTTTGGATACTGTATTTTATAGGGGACGCATGTGTACATATGAGTCGACCGACTTAGAAACCCCATCATTTATTTAAAGAAAAAGTTTACATAAGGTGGCAACCTTAAATTGTAGAATTAAGGGGCATCTCAAAAATCCATCATAAAGGGTTGTTTTGATGTTGAAAAACCCTCTAATAAATCATCTCAATATCGAAATGTATGAACATTCAAGTCTCAAAAATAGTGTATCTCGCAATACATTATGTGGACCGTCCATTTTTAAGATTTTCATGCGTTTATAGAACTACTTGATTAGAACAATTTTTGAAGTTTAAAATTTTATAATTAGAGATAAAAATATATTCTTAAGCCATATCAATATTTTTAATACCAAAATTACATTCAAGATAAAATTTGGAGGCGCATCTTAATTTAATTGTTTAAGGTTGCAACCTTATTTTTTATAATATGTGGTTCTTGTATTTTAATACGAAGGAAGGAGATGGAGTGTGTAAGGTTGGCATGGTGTGTTAAGCTTAATTTCAATGGGAGTTCCTTTGGGAACTCAGGGCCAGCAGGGATTGGAGTTATAGTCTCTAATTCAATAGAAAAACTGCCCTTTACTTATTCAGGGCCATATGGTGAGGCTACTGCTAATAAGGTTGAGGTATTGACTTTGTTATAACTATTGAAATTATTAAGATAGAGATGTGTTGATTTGTGTTGCATGGTAGAAGGGGATTATTTAAATGTGATTAATTGGTGTAATATAGTTGGGAGACCACCTTAGAACATGTGGGGTGTATGGATGGAAGTATTAAATCTTTGTCAAACTCATTTAGAAGTGTTTAATCATATATGTAGGGAGGCTAATGAGATGGTATATATATCGGCCAAAGTAGGGTTGCATTAGGTTAACTTGGTTGTTCCTTCATTTGTACCATTGCAATTTCTTGTAATTTTCTTTCATTTATAAAAGAAAAATTGTTTGGTGCATCCAACCCCACACCTATTATTACTATGCGAGCTTGGAGATCTACACCGTCTGCCAAAACCGGGTCCCGTAAATAGTAGTCCTCCAACGAAAAATTAAATTAATGATTCAAATATTTTCTCCAAAAAATATCATTTCTAGTTTTTAAATTTATTTATTTTTACATATTAATAATCTCCACGCGTAAGTGCGGTCCGATAGTAGGGCTCTGGCACTCTGTAAGTGTGGTCCGGTAATAGGGCTCCGGCACTATGTAAAGTGTGGTCCGGCAGTAGGGCTCTAGCACTGTATAAAGAGCGGTCCGACAGTTGCAAAGGGCGGTCCAGCAGTTGCAAAGGGCGGTCCAGTAGTAGATGTTATTGGATTCCAGGGCTCCAGCACTATGTAAAGGGCGGTGCAATACTCAGTTTCGGTCTGGTAGTTGTCTTAGGGCGACTCGGCACTTGTGCGCTCTAGCAATGTGACGGTGTGCTCCGACAATGTGCTACTGGGGTCCAAAAGTCAACGTTAAATCTGGCCAAAATGTTTTTTATGTACAGGAAGGGCATTTCCATCTAAAAAAAATGAACATTTTACCTTGGGGGGTATTTGCATAGAAAGTTTGTTTTGGGGAAAAACTTAAGAGAAAAAGTTGGGTTGAAAGTAAGTTGCATAAAAAGTGCTCTTGGGGTTTTTTTTAATTTTTCCTAAAGATTATATATTCCCTAAAAATTAGGATCAAAATCTATTTTAAAAATAAATTAGGGAAATTATCACAAATATACCTATATTTTCGTTAAATTGAAAAAAAAAAAAAAAAACAACCCCAAACTTTCAAAAACCTCGTCTACAACCTTTCTCACTATTTTCAGGTTTTTTAGACAAAAATGCCCTTAACGGTAGTCTTTCTACCATAATATATGTTGCAAGTTTTATGGTAATTAAAATACCGTAAAACTTTTAAGTAATACTACGGTACTTTAAGTACCGTAAAACCCTGGCC